GAAATTTATCTTTGTTCCTCGTTTGGCTCTTTGGTTTCTCAACATTGCTGTATTTGCAAATCTATTTCATATGGAAAAATGATCAGGAGGTAAGCACAATTGTCTCAGCTTCCACATTAAATCTCAGATGGTTTTTTGTTCCCCTTGGACTTTGTCATTGGAAAAATTGTACCCTCCGACATAGGGGACAGGGTTTTATCTTTCTGTTCCAGTGAGCTGTTGTTAGCAGAGCAAGAGTTCTCACCCAATAGTTGAAGGTGATTGCTTTAACCCAGAGTTTCCAGAGATAATGCATAATAAAGTCCCTTGCTGCCCTAAAAAAAAAAAAAGTCCTGTTTAATTAATGATGCTGAAGTCAAGCTTCCCCATGACTCCAGGGACTGCCTGGCATTGATTCAACTGCTTTTTAGGCCCCTAACTTAATCCACTGGCCCCACTGACTCTAAACCAAGCTGCCCTCCTGATGGCAAACACTGGCGAGTTCCTTCTTCAGATAATGCTAACAGCAAACTATTAGTCATTGAAGATGCCAAGTGGACAAATGGTTGTGTGATCAGAATTAGGAAACAAGGAAGGAACTGCTCAAAAAATGGAAGGCATTGTGATGACTCCCAGACGGAAATTAGAGGAGCACCCTCAAGTGTCTAGGGGAGCTCTGGGGTCTGTATAAACACACTTCTCGTTGTCCAGCTCCCTCCGAAGACTACACATTCCTGCAAACTGAGTAGCTGGGGTGTGCTTTCCTGATGGGAATCACCTGAGGTAGGAAGTGCTCATTTCCTGACCTCCAGGGCGCCCCTTGGCTGCCCAGACATCTGTTTCTGCTCTCAGCTTCTTGAGCCCCCTTTTCCTTCCTTCTTACTTTCATGATTGTCTGAGATTTTATTTCATTTTTAATTCCTTTTTTCTCATGTTTTTTCCTGTTTCGAGCTTTCCTACACTCGTGTCTCCAGAAGGGATAGCTTCCCTTGGTTCTCTAAGCTGTTCGCAAGCATTCTCGGACTGGCGGCTCTTTTCTTTTCTTTTCTTTTTTTTTTTTTGGTATATTGATAATTTAAATCTAACTGGAAACAGAACTTGTTAAAGCTCTTTTATCATTCAATTAAATTCTCAGAGCACCGAACAATGAAGATGGGAAAACTGGGGCTGGGCGGTTGGCTCAGCGGTTAAGAGCACTCAAGTGCTCTTTCAGAGGATCCAAGGTTGGTGTCGGCACCCTTGTTGAGCAGGCTGCAACTGCTATAACTGTAGCCCCAGGGGGATCGAACACGTCTGGTTTCTGAGGCACCTGAACTCAAGGGTGAGCGTGTATACACATAATAAATAAAATTTAAGAAAAAAAAAGGTCCGTTTAAAAATTGTCATTAGCCTTGAACAGTTCAGTAACCTGAGACTGTTCTCTATGTCTGAACTGGAGCTGACTGTGTCTGTTGGACAATTTTGACAGTGAAATGTGGCATTGGAGCTCTTAACTACAGAACTCAGGCACAGCCTTATTGGCACTGAGGATCACAAGTATCCGTGGCTGAGACCTTACCACACTGAACGGTAAAGCAATTGATTGGGTTATGTGGCTAGGTGACACGAAGAAAACCGCTGGCTTGCTCTTATTCCCCTCACTACCGCTTTTCCTCATGCTGAGAAATCTTAGCCCTCTCATTCTCCCACTGTAGGGACCTGAAGTGATCCGAAGGGGATTCCTCAGTTACTTTTCTGTTTGGGTTACTGCCTGCCATATTTTATGTAGACTCAGGGAGTTCTATGCATATTTTCGTCTCACAGAGATATCAATTCATATCTGTCACTTAACAAAAAATAAGGGCATAAACATATGTTTTAATTACATATTTAAATATGTAACATCTATTTAGAGAGTGCATTGATGAGGGTGGAAGGGGTGTATGTAACCCAAGCATATCAGTTTACCAGAAGCTTGCATCTCACATGGGGTAGCTTTGTAAATAAGGGAAATACCCAATAACTGATATGTGCACACACACACACACACACATACACACACACACACACGCATACATAATTGCATTAAGGTGTTATTTTGTGTTAATTCTAATTCTGTGGATGGGTAAGTTTGTTAATTAGGTAAAAGTAAATCATTTAATTTATGTGTGTGTATTTAATCAAATAATTAGAACAATTTGTGTGTGTGTGTGTGTTCATGTGTGGACAAGAGTACTTGTTTGGGTTACCTGTACATATAGAGGCTGTTGTTCATTAGGTTTAGTTTTTATTTCTGATTTTTTTAAACTTTATTTTTGTATATGGGTGTTTTGCCTGCATGCATGTCTATGTACCACGAGCATGCCTGGTGCCCACAGAAACCAGAAGAGGACTTTTGATCCCTTGGGACTGGAGTTACAGACACTTGTGAGCCACCAGGTAGGTGCTAGGAGTTGAATGTAGGTCCTCTGGAAGAACAGCCAGTATTCTTAGTCATCGCGTCATCTCTCCAGCCCTTCGTTTTTGCTTTTGACAGTGCCTCATGCTGGCCTGGAACTCTGTAAGTAAGCTGGGCTAACTGGCCAGTGAGCTCCAGGACCTGCCCACCTCTCTCCCTGCTGTCACCACCGTCAGCTCTACTCTTTATGTCTGGGTTCTAGCTACTGAACTTCGGTACTTGCGTTCTGTATGGCAAATTCTGATGGCCACCTCAGCCCTAAAAGACATTTTAGAATTTGAATGACTTTAAGCATACAAGGAAGTTGAAAGATTCACACATGATTATAATTTAGCCTAGATTCAAGCGTTACTATTTCGCTTACTGCAGACACTCACCTTGCCATTTCCACGGCATTGCACTTGGGCACCTGTGGACTTCGCCCTGCTGAATCATTGAAAGTGCAGGATGACAAGGACACTTCCTCATTCATCCCTCAATGCGTAGCTACTCATCTCACCCCAAAAAGCTTGTTCTCCTTTATTTCCTCAGCCCCACTGCTACTCCAAGACAATTATCAACAGTTCAAAGGATAACTGAGATTTTTTACGTGTGTTTGCTTATGAGTGTGGGTAGACACACGTCATGGCACACGTGTGGAGTTTAGAGGGCAGGATGTGGGAGTCAGTTCTTATCTTCCACGATGGGAGTGGGGGATGGTTCCAGGATGGAACTCAGGTCATCAGGCTCGGGAGCCAGTACCTTTACCTGCTGAGACATTTGGACAGCACTGAGCTGTTTCTGAACAGGTGGGATATGAAGCCTTTTGGAACACAGGTAGTAAGTACTTCACTGTTCGTCAAGACGGTGCTCTGCTTCGAGCACTTCCTACGCAGAGTTATGCTGTAATAGTGGAAAATTCTACCGTACTTCTGGTGAAGCTGGCAATCCAGGCTCAAGGTGAAAATCAGGGTAGTTTTCCTAGAGGTCATTTCCCTTGGCTTGCAGGTGGCTGCCTGCTTTCTCACGGTGTCCCCACCTAGATGTGACTCCATCCTTTTTGCCCTTGGCTGTGAGTAGCCTCACCATGTAGTCTGCAGTGTTAGGGTGATTATTAAGCCCTAGGAGGCTGTGGGTGAGAGGAAGTGTGCTTTGCTGTTGGGTGTTTGTCTTGGTGTGCAGACATGGGTGCTCTGAAAGATTACCTCAACAGCAGTGTGGGGCTCAGATAACTCTCCCTCCTGCTGAGAAGCCCCTGCTAATTTTGTCAATTGATTACACAGCAGGGACTTCTGCGATTGTTCGCGAAGCCACTGAGTTTGCTGCATTCTAATTTATGTAATGTTGACGGCTACAGTTTTAAAGATTGCTCCAGAAGACAAAACCAAGCGAGATGCCTCCCTTGACCAACAGTACAGCATATCTAATTGGAGGAGAAAGAGGAATGGACTGGGGCAAGATCAAGACACACGAAAGTGGGTTCCGCTCAGCTTTGGTGCCTTTTGCTTTTCTCCCGTCTGCTTGTGTCAAGTGCCTGCTACCATAGGGACTTCAAACTGTTCAGAAGCTCACACTTCAGTTATATAGATTGGCTTGTCCCCTGCCTCTGTCTCCTATTTCTTTCCATCAAGGATAAACGTTGAGGGCCAGGTATTATGAATGGTGCCTTTTATATGGTTCTGAGAAGAACAGCTCTCAAGGAATTTTTTTCTCTTGGGTAAGACTCAATTAACTTCACCCTCCATCCCTACGGTAGTGCTTGGATCTAAAAGAAAGCCTTTCATATTGTATTCGGTAATCGTTTTAAAATTTGCATATAACTTGCACAAATCAATGGTGGATGATATTTCAGGCATTACTTACAACCAAAATAGAAACTTTCATTTTATTTTAAAAAGATTTTTATTCTGAGAATCTCTAAATGGCTTCAAGGAGGAAGCCTGCAGAATGAAATAGCTGGCATTGCCTTTATTATATCGGCCATTTCTATACAAGGGTCATGATGAGCTTTAGGTACTTTAAGATTTTTCTGTTTCCTGACATTGCTGAAGTTTCATTTTGACTGTATTCCCACCGTTTATACTTAATTTTTTATCATTATCAGTGCCTTTATAACTCTGGCAGGCAAGAAAAAATGTTAACACACATGTACACACACACACGTACACACACATGTGCACATATGCACAAGCAAAGATATCATTTAAAGTTAAATGGAAGCAATGAAGTAAGGATTCTGATTTTCTTGCTCCCAGTCCAGTATTCTTGAATCTTTTTTCTAATGTTTGTAGAACACAGTGTTCATACATCTGCTTAAATCCTTCCCTTCATCTCTCAGGTAATTCACTCGGGATTTTTTTTTTTTTCTATCTCTGATCAAAAACATTTCTTACATGAATCACTCTCAGTAGTGAGATAACATTGAGCTCAGAAAAGGGCTTCATAATAAAAGACAATGCTGATGATTAATAATGGTGTAGCAATGGTCAGGGGGATCATGTTTAAATAGGTGAGCAGAGGTGTATGGACAACAAGACTTCAATCTGGGGTAACCAAGGGGCATTGAGGGTCTTGATGGATCTTGTTTGTTTTTTCCTCTTCAGCTATGAGAAACCACAGTGCTGTCCGAGAATTTGTTCTCCTTGGACTCTCGACCGACCCCTATGTTCAGCCTATACTCTTTACTCTGTTCCTTCTGGTTTACCTCCTCACGCTGGCGGGAAACGCCTTGATGCTGCTTGTGATTGCGGCTGATTCTCACCTCCACACACCTATGTATTTCTTCTTGAGACAGCTGTCCTTCCTGGACCTGTGCCACTCATCCGTCACAGCTCCCAAGATGCTGGAGAACCTACTTTCTGAGGACAAAACCATCTTTGTTGGCAGTTGCTTGGCTCAGGCCTTCTTTGTGTTCAGTACTGGAGGCACCGAGGCCTGTCTGCTTGCTGCAATGGCCTATGACCGTTATATTGCCATCAGCTCTCCTCTGCTCTACAGCCAGCTGATGAGTAGCCAGCTCTGTGTGGGGCTGGTGTGGAGCTCCTGGAGCCTGGCCTTTGTCGACGCCCTCCTCAATATCCTCCTGGCCGTCGGCTTAGATTTCTGTGAGGAGCGGACCATTCCTCACTTCAGCTGCGAGCTGTCCTCGCTCTTCCCTCTGTCCTGCTCCGATACCTCTGCCAACTTCGTACTCTTGCTATGCTCTTCGGTGGTGCATTTTTTTGGAACCCTTGTCCTGATTGTTTGCTCTTACGCCTGCATTGTTGCCACTGTCCTGAGGGTCAGCTCCAGCACAGGCAGAAGCAAGGCCTTCTCCACCTGCTTGTCCCACCTCACCACTGTGATCTTGTTCTATGGCTCAGGTTTCATCAGCTACCTTTTACCAGCTTCAGGGTCCCCCCTGGAAATGGTCTTCTCTTTGCAGTATAGTCTGGTCACCCCCATGCTGAACCCCCTCATCTACAGTCTGAAGAACAAGGAAGTGAAGGCAGCTGTGGGAAGAATGATCAGAAAGCATTTTTAACCCCTTCTGCATCAGTCACAACATTATAATAAAATAGACATGGAACCGCGGTACTATGTGGTTAAACAATGGTCTTCAAGGAGAGCTGTTGTTGTCTATGATGGAAGGCACCATTGGAGACATGCCTCTTGCCTTTTGTGGAAATATTGTGAATAGAGAACTCTGAGGATGATGAGCCGTATTTAGAAAGGGATACGTGAATCAGCAAACCCTCTCTTCCGCGAGATCATCTTAACAAAAATTTTTATTTTTCAGATCGGTATAAATAGCTGTTGCTATTGGCAGCTCACCACTCCTTCACATTTAAAAAATTATATCCCAAGTGTTCAGGAAATCTGACTCTTCAGAATCTGACAGCTTCCCCAGGGTGGGGGTGACCCTGTAGCTCAGGAGAGGTGGACAGTTCTGTCTTTTTCTCATGGTGAAGCATTCCATCCTGATGTGAAATCAAGACTCAAGTAAGGTTATCCAGAATCTTTTCTAGGAAATTTAAATATTTATTTTGAATCAAAAGAAAGTCCCTGGAACCAAGCCAATAACCCTGGGTGTACTAAAGAAACTACAGCCCTGTCCCCTGGCAACTCTCTTTGGGGTGATATTTTAAGGGAGAATAGCAATGTCAAATCAGATACACTTCTTAACTTGTGCCAAGAGGTGTACTACATTCCTGGGTTAGCAAGATGCCACACTTGTAATTTCTGGGACTTCTGGACAGTTCTACTTCCGATTATAAAATAAGAAGAGCTTAGATTATTCAGTTGGATCCAGTCTAATCACACAACTCCTTACAAGTGGCAAACATTCCCCAGCTATATTCAGAAAAGACAAGGCGAATGGGAGGACAGAGACAATATAAACATGGGATTTACTATCGCCTCCACCTCGCAATACCAGCTTCTGTGAGGCAGGAACTGTGGCCTGCTTCGGTGAATAACACCACCCAACAGCCAGCGGAGAAAGGGGAAGCACTCAGTGCGGAGCGCTGAGCCCACCCAGACTTCTGACCTAATATATTGTAATGTAACTATTTGCATGACTAAAAAATAACTGTTTTGTTTTAGTTTTTAGAATTTCATACTTTATTTCCATCACATACCCTTTTTTACCTACAGCTCCCCCATACCTCCCACACCCTCGCACATTCATGACTTTCTTCTTTAATTATTGTTGTTACACACACACACTCACCCCCCGCACTGAGTCCATTTAGTGGTATATGTGTTTAAAGCTGATCGTTTAAGAATGAATACTTTATTAGTGGTGTTGTGCCTGGAAAAGACTGATGAAATCTTAGCAGGTATTAATTGCCTGCAGCTTTTCTTCTTGGGGTGGGGCCTGGTGGGGCTTCCCACACCCATATTGCCAATTCAACTGGTGGTGTGTCTTGTTTAGGCAGTCACGTTGATGAGCATTCATGGGGGGTAGCTTCTCTGACATTTCTGGGAGACACAGTAAACTAGCAAACTTCCTGTTCCTCTGGCTCTTACAGCCATTCCTTCCTCTTTCCCAACATGCTCCTGGGGCCTTAGGTGTAGCGGTTGTGTAGATGGATTTGTTGGGATCTGAGCACAGTTTTTAAGATACCAAATCAGTAATAATTTGTTATGGTAGTTATAGGAAATTGATAAATTACTATGACTTTGATTACTCTACTTAATCATCTTAACAAGTATGTGGAATAAGTTCTGCTATTATTTTTCTTCGCTTACTGAAGAAATAAGACACAGGATGCATGTGTGTGTGTGTGTGTGTGTGTGATTGCTAGATTATTATCAGGAGGATGATGGAGCCTGACTCTAAACGGGCTTTCTGAGCTAAGCTCTACTCCCAGTTACTAAATGCGCATCCCACCCCCACCACCTCTTAAGATTCCCATGTCCTCAGTATAATTGTTCATGGTGTGATTTAGTTGCTTAAAAACCAAAGAATGGTAACTGGCCCTGAAACAGGAATCAAAAGTGACTCTTCAGTGAAATGTCTAGTTTGTTCTGTAGATGAAACAAAACCTCTCAGAAAAATGAGGATATATGGGATTAATTACTAAGATGCACAAAACAAAGTGAGCCACGTCGTTTAACTGCTTGTGGCCTGCAAGTGTTAAGACACCTGATTGCTCAAGACCAGGGACATTATACTATCCCTGTGAATAGTGGGAAGTTGCTACAATTAAGAATGACCAAGAGAGTGAGGAAGGCAACACTATGGGCTCTTCTGCTTTCAGAACAGTGATTTCTTGCTTGTTTTTTAAAATTACATTCTACCCTCGCTTTCTGTGTATGCCATGTGTGTGCAGGGGCCTTTGGAAGTCACCAGATCCCCTGGAGCTGTAGTTACAAATGGTTCTGGTCTACCTGACGTGAATACTGAACTTAGGTCCTCAGCAAGAGCTGCAAGAGCTCTATTACCTCTTCAGTCCTCATTTCCTTAAGGTACAGAATGAACATACAGAATCTCTCTCTCTCTCTCTCTCTCTCTCTCTCTCTCTCTCTGTCTCTCTCTCTCAGAATACCTGTCCTTCTAGAGATGCAGAACAGAGGCGATGCAGAGCCATGCAGTTGTGGATGCAGTAACATGCTTGGTTACATTGCTATCTGAGCTATCACAGCATGCTGGAAGAAGTAGATGTTCTTAAGGGATCCTTCCATGTCAGTAGGAACAAAGACATCTTGGAGAATCTGGAGGACCTGGAGAAAGATGAACCCCCAAGCCCATCTAAAACGACCACGTGTCTCTTGCCCTAGCTTGCTGTGTCCCACCAGGGAAGGGACATTAGGAACTCCTCTCATGATGTTTCTTTCTCCATGATGCTCAGATTTTAAGATCAGCATAAGATGCAGTGTGAAATCAGAATCAGGGTGGTGAAGAATCACTTAAAGAAATCATGGAAGTAGATTAGGGATGTGCAGGTGTGTATGTGTGCAAGTTTGTGTGTGTGTGCAGGTGTGTGCCTGTGAAGCTGTGTGCATGTGTGTGGGTGTGTAGGTGTGTGTGTGTGTGTGTGTCCTTGTGTGTACCCACAGAGGTCAGAGGAAGATGTCAGGCATCCTGCTCCTCCACCCTCCATATTATTCTTTTGAGGCAGAATCTCTCACTGAATCTGATGCTCACAGTTTTGGTTGAACTGGTCAGCAAGTGTTAAGAATCCACCTTTTTCTTCTCCCTCCCCAGGGCGGCATTTTGGCACGCACAGCTATGCCCAGCTTATTTTATGTGGGTGATGGAGATTGAGCACAGGTCTTCATATTTGTACAGCAAGGGACCTTCACTAATCCAATTCCTCAGCCCTTATATTAATTTTTATAATCAACCATTTAAAATTATTTCTAAGAGTGTATTTTATTTGTTCTCAACTAGAAGAATAAATTTAGCTTGTGTGCATTGTTTTTTTTAAAAGATTTATTTATTTATTATGTGTACAGTATTCTCAATATTCTGTCTGTGTGTATGCTTGCAGGACAGAAGAGGGCACCAGATCTCATTACAGATGGTTATGAGCCACCACGTGGTTGCTGGGAATTGAACTCAGGACCTTTAGAAGAGCAGGCAGTGCTCTTAATCTCTGAACCATCTCTTCAACCCAGTGTTTTTTTTTAATTAAAAAACAATTTAAACAAATTTATAGTCATTTATAGAGACACAGTTTTACCTGTATTTGAGTGGATTCATACTATGTAATTTTTTTTTCTTGGCTTGTCATCCTTATCAAATCTTTACCTACTTATTCTATACTCAACACACCTGTGCTAACCATAGAATAATAGTTTATTATCAAACATACATGTATGTAAATATAGATACATATAGGAGACTATCATACATGTCACATACACGGCCAATGACTAAGCTCTAATTAGTTGAAGTTATTTTTTTTGTAAATCGAAATCTCTATTTTGTGAATATGCCATAACTTCTCAAACCATTCCTCCATTTGTACTCCCTTAGCCTCCAGTTTTAAAAAACAACAATGTTGCGATAAACATTTTTAGCATATAACATGAAATTTGAATGTCTTCATTTCTCTTAGATTGACTCCCAGAAATGAGGTTATGGACTGCATATTTGTTTTAAATTTTAATTAGTCTCTTCAAGGTATGCCATAACACCTCATTTTCATCGACAGAGCAAGAGCTCCTGCAATTCACAAAGAGCCTCTAGGGTATTGGAATGCTTGCACAGTGCTTCTTCATTTTTAAATTATCAATCTGCATTCCTCCGACTGCGAGAGAGAAGATGGTTATATCTGTATGCATATTAATCAAACATTTGCATTTGTTACATTACATTAACAAATCATATCTATGGGCTATTTCTAAATTTAATTTGCTGTTTTTTTTTTAAATCAGTATTACAGTACTTTCCTTTTCAAGTATATTAACTGTTGCCTATGTTTTAAGCAGAAAGTTTTTCTTCACTTCTGCTATTTGTTCATCTTTGTTTATAGGATCTTTGACCATATCAAAAGTTTTGGGTTTTATTTATTTATTTATTATTTATTTATTTTTTAAAAATATTTGTTTATTTATTATGTATACAATATTCTGTCTGTGTGTATGCCTGCAAGCCAGAAGAGGGCACCAGACCTCATTACAGATGGTTATGAGCCACCATGTGGTTGCTGGGAATTGAACTCAGGACCTCTGGAAGAGCAGTCAGTGCTTTTAACCTCTGAGCCATCTCTCCAGTCCCCAAGTTTTGGGTTTTATATCGTCATATAATTTATTTTCTTCAACATCAATTCTCTATCTTAGTAAAGATTTTCATTACCTCCGATTTTCAGTGGTTCCCTAATATTCTTGGACTTAATCTCCATTCCTATTCATCACCATTTGGAGTTTGTGTTTGTATTTTCTGTGAGACAGGCGGTTAGCTGTGCTAGGGTTGATGGGTGGAAACTCGAAAGAAACCTCTTAGAAAGACATCATTCTTTTATAGCAACAGAACTGCACTGTATCATCTGAGATAAATCATGACATTTTAAGTTTTGTCAGCACACTATTTCT